TGTTTCCTATTTTTTGTAATTTCTCAATGTAAATTTTTCAATTTTAGGAATGTAGTATTTTTATTAAAGTAGATATATAGTTTTAATAACTCATTAGCATATGACGTCAGTCTTGTTATTGAATCTGCCACTATGCTGACACGTAGGCATTTGTAGCTCCGCCCTCTTTTGAAAAAAAGCACAATCTCATTTGAATTTAAAGCGGCAGTCACCAAAACAGCACAATAAGGATAAAAGCCTAAAAAGAGCAGTTTCAAATAGTTATAAAGCATTATCTGTGTGATATTTTGATCTAAACACACTCTAGAAACATCAGAGATCTATTTTACATCATGTAAAGAGAGGCACAATAAGTCCCCTATAAGAACCCAACAAAATTCAACAACAACAACAACAACCGTGCTTCTCTGCACCATGGCTAACACTGAGAAACTGGTCTAACAATTTTTGGAGTATGGCATGTTACTTCAGTATATAATATCTAATATAATCATTTATTTCATGTAGCTCCACCCTCTTTTGGAAAAAAAACACAATCTCATTTGAATTTAAAGCGACAGTCACCAAAACGGCACAATTAGGATCAAAGCCTATAAGGGGCAGTTTCAAAGAGTTATAAAACACTATTTGCATGATATTTTGAGCTGAAACTTCACAAACACACCCTAGAAACTAGACTAGACTTATTGTACATCTTGTAAAAAGGGGCATAATAGGTCCCCTTTAAGTCTCAACTCCAGCTTATTGTGAAGGATTAAAAAAAAAGAGTGAAGTGGTCCTATTCCATATAGAAATTTGGTTTTGAAATGACATCAGCAAGTAAATAATGACCAATTTTGCTTTTATTTTTGATCTTTTGGGTGAACTAATCCTATAATCAAACACAATACAGTTTGGACCTCTTCAAAAACTGAAGTTCATAAAAATTCATTACAATATTAAAGCCTGCTTCAGATTTTCCGAAATTAATGACTGAACGACAAGGAGACGCGGAGAACGAGAGTGAGAGTAAGAGAGAGGGAAGAAAAAAAGAAATCGATAAACACTAGATGGCCTGTAAAAGCATTATAAATATAAGTAGCATTTCTCCATTAAGGGAGATTTGGAAAACAGCAAATGCTAATGAGGAAGGCAAAGAGGCTATTGAAGTCCATTAGGAGCTCTCTCTAGTGAAAATCACCGCTCTCTGAGGTTATCAACTGGCCAACGCCACTAGATCCAGACCCACTATTCAAACCCCACTCCCATTTCCCACTGACGGATTGGACAAATGTGCTTTCTGCATGGCAGCGAGGGGGCCGGGGGGGGGG